AAAAAAAAAGAAGAATTGAGCAAGACTGCGAAGAGTGATGGGTGGGACACAGTTATGATTAAGAATTTTATACTTCGCGTTATGTAATAGACCCTTAATATCATGTAAATACGGATTGGCCACAGGAGTTCCCCTTCCACTTATACTAGTGTAGAATATATGGCCTATTGAATATATTTGACAGAGAACAGGCGGGAAAATAAATCTGACATAATCCGGTCCGTGGAAGATTGGTTACTCATCCTCTCTATTATATTTAACCCATTAGACTTTAGTTCACAAATTTCGTTGTTAATATGTTGTAAATAGTAGTGCATAACTTTTGTCAACTTTTGCCAGCTTCCTTGAGAACCACTGATGAAAGGGTTTTTAAAACCGGGGGGCATCAACGAAGTCGCACTACCTGTCTAGTTCTTAGAACCGCAGGAAGTATGAAACTTTCGTATCTTCTATTATAGCATATCTGCAAAACTAAATGCATGAACTTCATAAATACTTTCTAATCTTTATCATCAATTGGAATCTTGCAAAGTAGTTTTTCATACAGGGCTTGAGTTTTAAGTTCATTTGAACATCATTGCCGCGGTTCAAGCTTGCACAGGTTGACAAGCATAAGCTATGGGAAAAGAATGAGAAATTAAATTTTAGATGAGTAGTGTAGTTTACAAATTCTTGAAGACTCAAAAAACAGCATGCACCGCGATTTCTCCATGTGAAAAAATGGTTAAGCTAGAGAAACTTTGAGCTATCCAGCTGTAGGATTTTTCCTTTTAAGCTCCAAATAGTGTTTTTCTCACGCCACTTCTCGTATTCATAAACCCCGATGCAACCACTAAACTAAAGATGTTAGTTTCAAAAGTGGAATTATTACGTGGTAATAATCCAGAGGTGAGTAGACCCCATCGTAGCCACAACTCTGCTTCCTTAAAAGTTCTCAGTTTGTTCCTAAAATGTACAATTCTTGTAAGGGACTTGTGTCACAGCCTGTAAAGCTGACGCAAACTTGGCATCATGGTGTATCTGTTGAAGTTTACACGTATTTGGTAGTAATGCTTCCTACAAACCATGGCAAGTCCAGGCATACTTGAACACATCTTGAGAAAAATCGAAATGTTAGTTATGAAAACTCACCCCTGGTCTTATGAGAGGTCCCACGCCGATATCTGCAAGATTCTGGAGTTGCATCAAAGTTTTCTACACACCACATCGAATACTGTGTTTAAGTGTTTGAACATGTATCCAGTGGGCCGCCAGATATCGGAGTTTTCAAAGAATATTTGGAGCTTTCAACTCGAATAGACACTAGATACACTTTTTTGAGCAATCGAAAATCGAAATTTACGAATAGTTGAATTTGAGTAATGAAAGAGAAAATTCCATTAATACCAAATATTTAGCATTTCAAGGTTAAGGAATTTGAATAATCCAATTTTTGCATGATCATAATCAAACATATCATCCTACTGTAGATAGGGTAGAAAGTCAACGTCATAAATCTGTCTGGAACTTTGCGTTGTGGTGGTTACATAACACTCCTACGCAAACAGACGGGTACCTACAGTTGCCTACAGTAACCGTACACCTCAGTTGTTACTGTAGTGTGGCATACCTTAGGATTCGTCTGGGCAAGCTGAGACTAAAACCGCTTTCCTTTTAAAAACTATCTATTTTGAAAGAAGTTATGACGATACGAGGCTTGCGACGGATTTTATGTGAGATTACAATTTTTTTTGCAAAACTTATGATTGGTATTGTATGCCACGTATATGTATGTACGTATGTATGTATTATTATATATGTATTTATATAATATGTACAAACATGATTAAAGATGGATTCGCCAAAACTAAGCATATTTATTAAAACTGCAGTAAGCAGTACGTATATCAACAAAATTGCATTGCTCGATTCTTTTTTCTGTCATACCCAGCATCTTCAACATAGGATAGGTATTGTATGAGATGAATGTTATAATGCGATCACAGAGGCTTTACAAGTAGCTATACACAATCTATGAACGGATTGTTGTCCTCAAGGGGATTACAATAAGATACTCTGAAAGGGCAACAGTAACAATACAGCTAGTAACAAGATGTAGTGCTAAACGCTTTGAATATCACTCAATGGAACAATACACTCTTATGATGCGACGTATGAGCGATAGCGCGAAGTACTAACAAATATACAAGCGCTATTTAGTACTACGTAGGGGTACGACTCGTCGAAACACCAAAAATAAATGTATATTACTGTAACACGTTTTTTGTACTGTTTTCTTACAATACTTACTATGAAATAAGTGACTTGTTCAACAATAGACCTCTAGAAATAGACTTTGTGCACTAGATACAAGTAACAACTACAACATTCTAACCACACTATAGAATTCTTAACTGCGCTTTCTTTACAATAAATATACAGGCTACAACGCACTGATTACGTTGTTATCTCATCGATTTTGAAGATTCAAAACGAAAATACATTAAAAAATACTTATACAGGATCCCGCGACACTATATGACTCAAGTGCACATCTCCAATTATCAAATGAGAGATGAATAATAAAATATAACTGAGAATAGTAAGAACATCTGGAATGATGCCAACTTTGGACATCGCGGTTTTGACACGTGCGCTGTAGGAATAGTCCTGAGAAATTTCGCTGAGATTGGACGTGCATATATTAGAGGAATATTGGGATTTTTTTCTGGATACGGCAATCGAAGGTGGATACATAACAGATCTACGAAATGTGAATTTGTCTCAAGCCAAGCTTAATTTATGGTGCGAATCTGAACAGTTCTGAATGAAATCCATGATGTCTGAATATGAAACCAATGCTTGTGGGCGTCGCTCCACATCAATAATGACCTAAATTTTGCAATTAACAATTGTGAGATATGATGAAAAAGATTTACACCTTACAATAGATTGTCGGTCAGTATTAACCATTGTCGAGATACAATCGTAGACGGTCATCGACGTTGTACCATAGACAGGAGGATTCATTGTAGCAATTATGTCCTGAAAACCGCAGGCTTTATCTTTTCAATATTTTCAGGTTGATGGTAAAACTATAGATTTGTGACGCTCAGAGTTTTCGAATTTTACCCACTCTAATGAAAAAACACTACAAACTGGATTAAACCCAAGTATGTGTTTTCAAACATTACTGCAAAAAAGCGAACATCTTTTAGCTTGAAATTTCTCATTAGTCATTCTCTTACATCAACTATAATTTATATAACACTGACATTTTAGACATTTTTTGCGCAAATTCAATGTTTACAAATTATGGGGCAGTATTTATAGGTAGGATAAATTTCCGCTAATCGCCAAATAATCATATTAGGCTTTCTACTGACATTTGGCCAATGCCCAACAAAG